CCAAATTCGTATATAAACTGCGAATTTAGAAGGCGTGGGGGATGCAATTCGAATGCCGGGGTTGATGGATGTCCGTCAGTGTCTTTATCGGGTCCACAGCACTGTTCGGCGTGAACCGAATCGACTGTCAGAAAGTACTGTGGCTGTGGGTTAATGGATGAATTTGATTATCATGTGGTTACGGATGTCAACAAGTGTGGCGGGGCTAAACAAGTGGTCAGGCCCGAAGATTGGGGTTTCGCTCGCTTCATCAGCCCGTTAATTAATGCGGCGTCGCGGTCCACAATCCCGTGCACACCCCCTCCTCCGAGCCCGTAACTAATCTGACTCTACTCCCGAGGATTATTTGAATTAGTTGGTATAATGTTCTGCAGACGGTTTCCTGCCTCCATATTCTGCTTCTAGAATTACAGGCTGTGTGCAAAAATGACACATGGAAACAGGTAGAAATGATTTACGTCAGACGTAATGGTGCCTGTTATCCTTCATATGTTTTTTGTCTTTGGTCTAAGCTAGCAACAAATAAAAATCTAATGACGGCTGTCTTCTGGGTTGTAGCGCTGTGTACTCTGGTAGAATTTTACCAACGTTTCAAGGTCGTCGGTGAAATTATGCCACACTGCACGGTGCTAATAACCCAGAAGACAGTTATCTTCGTACTCACCGCCATGAGAACTGCAAATCTTAATTACACATTTAGTAATGATCCTGTGTAGTAATCCATTCGTTTATATTGCTACAGTTTCTGAATTCGTTAAGTACGTTAGGTGTATTCTCAGAATTTTATGCTGTTCCCATATTAATTTGTAAACACTGTTTCTAGCAAAATATGCAGGTATAATTACGATCTGTCTCCGTACTGTATTTGATGTGTCTTGCCCTGGTGCATCATTAGTAACTGCTATAACACCGAAAGCTAAATAAATGAATGTTTCTCACTTCCAGTGTATTGTTTAATATGCACAAAATAAAAGAAAATCAGAAAAAAACATAGAAGATTTTGCTATACATTACTTAGGGGTTCCAAAAAACCCCTTGATTTCTGGGGCCACACTCACCCGTTCTCATCGACTTTCAGGCCGCCATGTCATAACATTGACGATAATTTATTAAAACCTCATGCCAGTTTATTAAAATGCTAGCAACTTACTACTGCAAATAAGTTCACGTAGGCTATTACTTAATACTTTCCTTTATAAAATTTATTTATTGTTCACTGTAAATTTATGATTAATTTACTAACATCAGTTCTTCCCTCCTTTGTAACAAGGAACGTAGATTGTCGAGCTCAGTCCGATTGATAGTAAAAGATGCAAAGTGTTAGTGGTTCTGTGTTAATTAGGTTGTGTACTAGCTGTGCGCTTAATTTGTGGTCGGTACTGTATCCGGACAAAAGCACAGCGCTTACACTATCTCGCATTACCTCATTAATGCTTGAATAGATCACTGAGCTAAAGAATAGTTTTACAGTTTCTACTAAATCTCTCTCTCTCTCAAAAAAGAAGTAAAATGGAAGCTTCCAAAGTAACTTTAGGTCCACGGGTTCTTCCTGGAATTTGTTTTATAACCAATAAAGACATAGACGTTATGATTAATAGTATGAAATTGAAAGGTCGAAATGAAGGTTAGAGTCGAAAGGCACGATATTTATACAGAGTTAATTAATATTAATAAGTTTATCAAAAACAGGCTGATGGTAATGAACAAAAGGTCGTTGTATGGCTGGACGACTACGTAACAAAGCTTTTGAAAATGGTGCAATATTAACAATGAATCCCCGCCAAAGCCTTAATTTCAGTCAGTAAAAGTTCGAGAACAACAGTAAAATAAGTTCTTTTTGAGATTCTCAAGGCTCTGAAATATCGAATATGGTCTTCTGGACATGTAGGCCTATATTTATAGCCTACAGGCATACCGGCATTATAATAACTGTAGAAATGTATGTTCTTGTATAGTATTAACATTTAATCTAAAACGAGGGTTTTGGTGTTTGGACGTCTTTTGAACATTTAATATGAAACTCCTGTTACTTGTCTATGTATACACGCAGATGTAAATTAGTCTTGGCTGATACATTCTCGTGGATTGCTTCTTTTGTGTAAAGTGAATTTTAAGACCTCTCTGTGTGTTTCTGGATATGATAAATGATGCACTGTTTGGAACAAATGCTCGCTATTTATATTGTGGCTTCTTGATGATGCTGCGTATCTGAAGAACAATAGTAGACTTAACTGTGACTTGAGTTCCTAAGGTGGTCATTATCTGCTTTATTCCTTCTTACATAAGGAAGGAATCCCTTTTGTAATTTCTTGAAATATTAGAGCGAAGTGTACAATCGCTAAGAGAATTTTCGTATTGTCATTGAATTGGAATGCCCACGGAGAGACATTTATCTTCTGGGATCCACCTGACTGTGAATCAGAGCCCTCGTGACGCTCTATATTCAAAGGAATATTTTAGATTCTTTTCGTACTAAAACTCAGTGCCTGTGTGTCACTATCAGAAACACGAATCAGTAACTTAACTTCTGCGGTCTTCAACACTGTCAGTGAAAAGGGAAATCTGAGCTTTACTGTGGTACCATTTGTGACGTTTTATCAGTGGTCATTCTGTCAGAGTTTGAGATATGTGTGTGTGCGCGCTTACCTACTATATATGCAAAAGAAGGAGAATTTTTGTTGAATAAAACTTGGTGTGGAAAGGGGTACAATTCTGCACATGGTTAAGAACACTGGATAACAGGGAGGAGTAATTAATTTTCGTTGCTTCGTGGCCGGAGTTCGTCGCAAGAAAGATTTGTTTATCAGAAATAAATAAGTTAATCAGGTATCAGTTTTTCATACTGACTATAGGCCATTTACAGCGAACATAAGAATGTTATTGTCGTTTTCATCATAGTCATAATTATCATCATAGAGTTATTTCGGATATCGCAAACTCTGATTACTGATCTGTAAGTGTTAAGGCATGTTAAACAGAATTCTAAGCAGGTTCTCATTTCCATTTGTCGGTGCACTAAATGAAGACGATCAGTATTTGTACTAAACATCACAAAAGTTCAATATCCGTCCGTATCTAATGTTTACGTATTATGTTTAGGCTATGTTTCGTAGTATAGTGTTTCTCTTTATTAGCGTATTTATGAAAATGTAAGAGCCACAGGTTCGAATGAAAAGCATAGACATTCAGACACAACTTGTGCTTATAAGCATATCTCGATAATGGATGCGATATTTTGAAAATATCACATAGAATGCCTCAGTAACAGGTTTTAATCTCGCAGTTAAGCAGTACTATGCGTTAGCAAACAAATGTTTGTGTTTAGCAAATGAAGAGAGGTCTGTAGACATGCATGGAACATTCATGACACCTAACCAAAGACATATCATGACCCATATTACACTGATGGAAGTATACGAAAATCCTTTCTTTTTAATTAGTCATCTTATCCCACAACGAATAACGTCTGCTGGAAATATGATATTT